TGCCAAGTCAAGGGGGACTTCGTACTGATACTAGCTCTTGCGAGCAACAATCTATATAAGTGTTGTATATATATATATATACTGTATATGTATAACGATGTCAAGGTTCTTTCAATTACTTCTGACCCGGGAAGATTCTGCGTTCTCCCAGCAACTCTGCGAAGTCTCCCCACCACTTTGCGTATCAAGCTGCTCCTCTGAAGGTAAAGTCTTCCTTCTCCCAGCTCGCTGCAGAGCATTCCTTGGCACCACGACAGCTCATCACGAATCAGTGCTTCGCCATATTCAAAACAAATCCATAATTCTGAAAGGTCATGCAGACTATCTGCATGTTGTATTCTTTGGAGGATGTTTCTCAACCAACAAGAGATTCGTGGATCCCAGGCGGTGAAACAGTACAACGGGCCCCAGCATTGGCAGCGACCAGCAGACCAGCTTCTGAAGACAGAAGCGTGAAAATGCTGCTAATGCGAGCCAGAGGAAAAAAAGAAAACGTTTACGTGCTTGGTTGACAGAGGACACCAAGAGAATGCTGCTTCTTGCGGAGTCCTTCGATGCTGAGGATGCTTTCCTCCAGTACTTCTAACTTCATACGATTCAAGCCGAGAGTCAAAGCGCAGGACTCTTTCTCCACACACTCATCATCACGTGGCGGGAGCCTTGGCAGCATGTTCTTTGAAACCACTCCGGTCCAGCAGCTCGGATAAAAGAAAGGTGCGCTGGGACCCGGCCTGTGCCTTGTTGGGTATGTTTATTCACTCAATGGGTGATATGCCGATATGATCCAATATGCCAACAACCAAACCGCGCTTTGAGGTGCCCTTCTGCAGCTGGTCCTTTTTTCGAACCCAGGGGCCAGGGCAGCCACCAAACGACTCACGCGGCCTCTCCCTCCTCACGGCCCGGTGGCTCCACGTCGCCGAAGATCAGTGACACCTGCAGCAGGAGGAACACCCCTCTCATCGCAGGCCTCAGCGTTCACTCAAACCCTCTCCGGACACCCGAGTCAGTCGGGAGACCGACGCGAGAGGCGCCCCTGAGGCCCTGCTTCCCCGTCACCACCCGCGTGACGTGACGCCGCGTCGGTCATGTCCGTCGACCACGCCTCGAGAAAGAGATGACATATGATATGATGGCTCCAGATAGTATCATGATATGATACTAGTATAGTATCTAGATAGTCATGATCATGTCATGATACTAGAGAAAGACATGATACTAGACATGATCTAGATGGCTCCAGCTTGAGGGAGCTCCGGAAATGTTCGCCTCTCTCCCAACGAGACGAAGTGCCCCGGGGCGACCTGGTCTGTGAGGGGGGCAGAGGTTCCGAACTCGAGTTGACGGGGCAGCCGTCACAGGGCGCCCCTGGACCCCAAAAAGCAGCTGACAGAGTTTCACGTGGTGTTTCACGTAGTGGTTCGGGTCTGGTCGTGTCCGGTCGTTTTTGGCAAGGCGCTTGTTGCCAGGTCTCGACAGAGAATTCATGAGGCGAAAATGGAGAAGGTTGGCTCAGCTGCAGGATGGTTTTAGGTTGAAGCTCTGACCTGCTGACCTGCCCTCTTGACCCGATGGCCCAGAAGGAAGAGCTTAGAAGGAAGATGCTGTTCCGCATGAGCTCTAAACCTGCCCTGACAAAGGTGATGGACGACGCTTGAGCCAAAAGCAGTGTATGGGGATGAAGAGGTGTATGTCAAAACTGAGACAAAGAGCCTGAATCTTTAGTGAGTCATGGACAGTCATGGTCAGCTGTTGCCCATCTGTCGCTGTCTAGCACCAACCCTCCAACAGTGCAAGTGCTCAACCTGGCCAAGAGGATATCATTGACCAGCAAGTTTTAGCGTACCACCTGCCAAACACGCTAGACACCAAAAAGTAGACCAAGAAGAAAGAAGACAAACCCCCAAATGATAGGATCTGAGCACACAAAATGCCAAAACATGTCACCTCAACTCCAGAATCCCCCAGACCCTGTCTGCAGCAGTTGGTTTGATCCGTTTTGGTACTCATCTACCTGAACTGCATGTATGCCTCGTTGATCAAAGAAGCGTTTTCGCAAAGGGCCCAGTCTCCGACACTCCGAGGGCTCTGCTCCTTCGCCAAGCCCACTGCGGCTGTATGCGCCTGATTTCTGACAAGGCCCGTCATCATGCAATCCCAATGGGGGGATTTATTAATCAAGAGTCTACAATCCCATCACAGCGGTCCTTTATGACCAGTACCAACAGGTTTGCCCACAAGGAATAGGAGTGAACAAGATCTTCGTACCGTTGCTGCGTAGTTCGTACTCGTGGAATCTCTTCTTGGGCGATTGCTGATGCTTTGTGCAAAGTGAGGACGTCCAGTCAAGCATATGGGGGTGGCAGGATAAATGGAAGCTCCTGGGAGTCTTTTCGTCGACGACTGTCTACAAACATATTCCGGTTCCGCATCTTCCGTATTCCCAGACTCTTTGATACTCTTTGAATGTCTAGAGCCTCATTATCACATGAATACAGAACTACAAACCACAGACTTGTGAAAACATTTGAGTTGGAAATCCGTTATATTGAAAAAGAACTGGGCTTCTTGGATGTCACTGACCCGCTATGCTTCCAGCAGGAAGATCAAAACGGTGGCCAGGGAGCCAAGCTAAGGTTCTGCCAATCTGAGAAGCATTTACCCATCATCAAGACAAAGTACCATGTAAAAGCCGTGGCGTCTAAACGCAGCCGCAGGGTTGTGTAACAGCAGTTGCGATTTGTAACAACTGCCTATAGTGCCACAATTGTGCTTTGCGTAGAGGCTGTGTTGTGTCGCTGGTTGCGCGATTCAAGTCTGGTTCTGGGTCGCAAGAACAACCGCTCACACCAGCTTGCTCGTCGAAAACGATGCCCGAAATCCGAATCAAGCAGGGAATCAAGCATAACTGAGCCCGAAATCCAAATCAAGCCTAGGGAATCAAGCATATCTGTGCCTGAAATCCGAATCA